TTTGGAGTGGCGAAGATTTCTCTGCGTTATTCAAAGCATTACTACACTCGCCAACGGCCGCGGGATCCCGTTCTGAGACCGATTCTTTGTCGTCCTCAGGTATCTGGGTCCCCTTCATCTTTGTGTCCAAATTTTCTACTAACGAGGAGAACTATTTATTAGAGTCTGAAAGCCGTAAAGTTTTAGACTTTTACAACTTCGGGTCGTCTAAAAGAAAAACGACATTAAAAATTTGAAAAAAACGGATTATAAATAACGGTAAATTATAAAAAATAAAAAAAGTTAAAACATTAAAACTTAAAATAATAAAGTTAACAATAAAATTAGCAAAATTGTTTCACATACCAAAAAGAAAATGAGCAAAACTTAGGGAAGAAAAAAGGAAAAACTCAACAAAGACTTAATTAATTTTTTACATTAGAGCTACAGATGTCGATATTATGCTCCTCAATATAGGATGGTTCCACTTATTGCAATAAATTGCAATATTCTTCCGGCTATTCTTTTAGTTTGGCTTGTAGGAAAGTTTGTAGAAGGTACATTTTAAGAATTATCTGTACTGTGTTGCAGGTTTAACCATGGACATTAAAAATACAAGACAGTTCAACACGAATAAAAAAAATTTTTTTCAATTTTTATAGTCGGAACCAAACATTTTCAGAAAAAAAATCGTAGAGCAAAAAATAGATAAGCAATATTGTTATAGACTATACATATGTGTAGGCAAATGTTAATTAGGTATAAAATATATACAGTAAAACACGGTTAAGTGGATCACGCTTAAGTGGATTTCACGCTTAATTGCATCAAATTTTCGTGGCTTGTACTTTTTTCGATTTTTTCATATAAAAAAATTCGTTTAAGTGGAATTCGGATAAGTGCACAAAACGCTTATCTGCACATATATTTTTTCCCTCATGTAATACGAGTACTTAATATGTAAATTTATTCGGTTAACTGCACATCCCTGTTTTTATTAAGCATAAATGTCAAAAATGAAAAACTACACTCTCAACTACAAAATAAGAAAAGCAACACTATGTAGCTACACAAAATATTTTAGTTTCTGTCATTGTCAAATTTTGAGTGTTGAAAAATTTAGAACCAGTTTTTAATAAATTCAATTCTTTGACATTGGAGGTAATTTTTTAAGTCGAATTCGTATAAGTGGAAAACACGCTTTAGTGGACAAAATTTTCTTGGCTGATCGATTTCCACTTAACCGTGTTTTACTGTGTTTGTATTATCTGTACATAAATACACATGATGTATGTAAATAGTTATTTTATTTTTTAAAAATGTACAAGATATTAGAACCTGAAGGAAAGCAGATGCAGAGAAGACAAGATCCTATAACAGAGCTTATATACAAGATGTTTGTAGAAAATAAGGGGAAGAAGTCCAGGGGATATCAAGGCCATAGAACTAAGAGAGCAATTAAGAAGAACGATGCTCACAGATGGAAAACAAGACATAGACACTAAGAAACATGCAAAAATATCAAGAAAATAGCCAGAAGAGATAAAAGGGAATACTATAGCGCAATAGCCCTCCGGGCCCAACAAGTCACTGACAGAAATGATAGCAAAAAACTATTCAAAGAAATTCAAACCCTATCTAAAAGAAACCCGAGTAGGAGAAATATTATCAAGAACAAACAGAGCTACTAACAACAACACAAGAACAAATAAATAGATGGAGAGAAATAACGCTGCTAAATTCACTAAACAAGATACTGGTCCTAAGAAGATATCGCGGCTGTACTGGGCAGTCCAATACATTAAGAATAATAGCAAAGCAAACAGTCGAATGGAGCAGCCCCGTAACGAAACAGGGCTCCCACAAAAATTGTAAACATGATAACGGCACTCTATCACAACTCACGAGCTGTTGTCGCACACAATGGCAGTTTAAGCGAATCAATAAGCACTGAAGTTGGTGTAAGACAGGGGTGCCCGTTATCACTGTTACTATTCATCACCACTCTAGATGAGTGCAAGAGAAAAGTGAACAACATACACAAAGGCATATCATGGGGACTGATACCTAAGCTGCAGGATCTCGATTACGCAGATGACATAGCTCTTCTCACACACTCTGCATAGATATGCAAGTAGGGATAGACAAACTGAAGTACTCGGCGCAGGAGATAGGACTCACCATAAATAAAAAGAAAACTAAATTGACGAAGATGAACACAACAAGCCAGAACCACATATATAAAGATACCCCAATGGAGGAGGTAGATAACTTCAATTACTTAGAATCTGCTATATGGAAACGCGACATGGTTGACAACAAAAGCAACATCACAAAAGATACAGGTCTTCCCTTACAGATGCCTCAGAATGATATGTAGGGTCTTCTGGCCGACATATGTAAAAATAAGAAAAAGGAAATGGATCGCCCCACCTAGAAACAGATGTAGCTAGACAGGCCCTGTAATGGAATCCCCAGGGCAAAAGAAATGTGAGAAGACCAAGAATGACTTGGAGAAAGTCGATACAGAAAGAAATAGAATGTACAAAGAAGACTTGGTCAGAAATTAAGAACATAGCCCAAAATAGAGTAGGGCGGCGAGGTTATGTGGAGACCCTGTGTTTCCTCGGTGAATTGTAAAAAAGAAAAAAAAAATAACTGAAACACCAAATACAAATTTTTAATTAACAAAAAACTTTATTTCACAATATTATATTTCATAATTTTATTGTGAATACATAATTTACAACAAAAAAAGAAACTTAATAATATATCCTATATTTTTATTAAATTTTTTTAATTATTGAATTTTTGGAAAGAATAATATTATATTTTTCAAAATTAATCATTCTTTTAAAAATCAAAGCTTGAAATTATTTAACAATGTTTTCTTAAGATTCTTAAAAACCTTGCATTGAGAAATTTCAATATTTTTCTTTTTAAAATTACATTTTATATGTGCATTACCATTATATAGCACTGAAATAACATTATGAAGCGGTTGAAGAATTAACATACTTTTTCTTTCATATTCTTAAAAAAGTAAATTTTTCAGCAAAGTCGAAATCAGAATATTGAAGATTGAGAAATAGTTCAAATTTACAAAATTTACAAACACATTGTTGATTATTTTTATGTATTAACTTTTTTCTATTCTATTATATGTACATATGATTAGACAAATATAATAATATAAAGCATGTTACATAAAAGCCAGATTATTTGAAACAAAAAAAAAGTTTTGATAATTTCATTATTTTTTTATTTCTTTTGTTTATATTTTATTTCATCTTCTTTCCATTCCCTCTAAGAATAAACAGTATAATCCAAAAATAGTGTATAATTCATAGTGTTTAAGAATAAATTGGTTAATTGTTGTACATGTTACATTTAAGTTAAGTAGATATAGCTAAAAAAAAAAGGAGAAACAAATATACTGTTACTTTTCTGGCGAAAAATTTTATACTAGATTGGATGTCCTTGGTACAACTTTAAAAATATGGTTAACATTTTACAAATACAGGTTATTTAAGTTATAATTGGTATTATTATAAAACATAACTAATTTTTGTTACTTACCGTCATCATTCTCCATTCTGTTTGCCTTTTAAAAGTTTAAAAATAAAGAAATATAAAACTGACAGCCGCTCATCAACGAAAAGTGCCTTGCAAGTAACTCCCAAAGCAGTGCAAATTATCAAAAAAAAAATAAATGTGTTCACTTTCAAGCGCTGTAAAGTATTGTAATTTAAAATACACGTATACTTTGCAATATGAATATATAATATGCGTATGTATATAATATGTATATTTAATTACAATGTATAAAGTAAAAGATTAAAAAAATTAATGATTTCTGTTTAAATTTATTTTTTTTGGAGATATGATTTTTAAAACATTTTTATTTTTATTTTAAAAAAAAATTTTAGCCAACAAATTACATATATTTATAGTAGAGTAGTAAAAAAAAAAATAAATAAACACGCTTCTATTACGACTTTGACAATTGCGGAAACGAAAAAAAAGACAACTACAAACAATTTGGCTTCATTGTTTTTTAAAATGTTCCTTCCTTTAGTTTCTAATTCATTAGTACTCGTAACTATTGTGCTGTAAAAAGGAGAACTATATGACATACCGTGACTTACTTAATGCTTTATAAAAAGTATTAATACGATTGTACTATCTTCTCAGAGCTTTCAATACTTTTAAATTTAAAAAAAACTGCTGGAATCATTTTGGAATACAATTTTTACAATATTAATACATACTAGGACGTTTGTTTGAAAATTTCAATTGAAAGTTCTTTGCAAATGTTAATTTTCAACAAACGTTATCACATTATTAAAAACTTTTAGGAAAAAAAACTTAATAATTAGCACGTTATTGCTGAAAATATATGCTAAATTATTTAATTGGTTATTTCTGGCAACATTTATATAACATGTATAAGGAAAGCGTGCTTGATTTTTTCGATACCCAATTTACTTTTATTTTCCGTATATACTACGTACAGAGCGCATTTAGGAAGAGGTATACAATGTCAAGGTCTTTTACTAAACTTTTGAAATGTGATACTTTGAAAAGTTCATGTTGTAAGGGCATTATCAAAGTCACGGATTATGTTTCCTGTAACACGCATAGAGAAAGACTGAAGCAAAGCCAATTCGCAAATTTTTCAGAGAATCTGATGAGAAATAGTAGTGAGTAAAACACAGTGTTCTTGCAAATCAAATATTTGCAAACACTTGATTGCTCAGATTGAAAACACTTGTTCTGACTTTCACAAAAACAACACTTTCGTATTTTTAATTTTAGCGAAATGTCATACTCTTTCAATGTACACGTTTGTTTTTTGTTGTAATGATTACATTTTTGTAAAAAATCTAATTTTGTTTGATAAAATCAGTGGAACAATCGAAACGTATGTATGGATTAATACTAAATTGAAAATTTTCGATATTTTCTTAAACTGTACATCTTATATTTTTAAACGCATGCTCATAACAAAATATTAGTATCTGGTCTTCAAAAATAAAAGAAAATCAACCGAGAAGTACTAAAAAGATCCGCCATCTTCAAAAAATAAGTTAATATAAACGGATATTGCAAAAACAATATAATGTAAATAATACGAGTGAATACAAATTGTTGGTAATTGTATATATTTTCGCATTATCAAACTTTTGAATCTAGTGTTAGCTTACACATATATAAATAAATAAAAAATTCATATCAAAACTGAGAAAATATAAAAATTATCGTGCTATATGCAAAGAAAAGTAAGTACCAAAAAATTGGGGAATGTTGAAAACAGATATACGCCATCAACTTTGGTTGACAAGAAAAACCTTTCAAAGAAGATTAGGAGGAAAGGAAGATGGTAAAATATGTTGTCTCTTAAATTATATGTGAACATATACATGAATACATAAAAACAAAATATTTGCTTTTTTTAAATGAACTCTTATGAGTTATAATTTTGTGGATGTATGTACTCGTACACACATACTTTATATTAACTTTTGCGCTGTCAAACATTTTATAATCGATAATTTAAACCAATTTGCGCACACAGTTTCATTCTATTTTTTTGCTTTTTTTATATAGGATATGCACTACATACATACAAACGTATGTTGTGCTGGGGCTATGTAAAAAAAGCGCATCGATTTGCTGGGATTTTTGAAAATTCTCCGAAAATAAAATATAAGAGTGAAATATTTGGTTTACTTAGGGTGCTTCCGAACTTATTGCATCAGAACTTCCCGAAAATATTTTAGTTCGCATTATTTATCGAACGTTAGTATTTCCCGAATTTACAAATTCGAATGAAATCTATCAAAAAACGTAAGTATGTACCAATTTATAGTCGCAATTTTGCTACTTATGCATCCGCAAATTTGCGATTTTCACATTACATGGTGTCACTTCTCCAAATGCGTACGCTAATTTTCTAACGCCACGTGCTTCGACCCATTCCCCAAAGGCTTGAGTGCAACTTTCTTTTAGTAAGGAACAGCTTCGAATTACATGATGTCGTCTCTCTGGTCCTCACGGAATGTTTGACTTGGGCAGACATAAAAGATGGAGGACGACTTTAAAAAGGCAAGCCTCTTCCAAATGATTGTATGCCAAATACGTACTTCATGCATTTTTAACAACTTAAAACCCGTTCTGCTAATTTTCGACCAGCCAATGAGCTGAGCCTTTCAAATAAAAATTATTCCGTTTTGAAATAGTTCAACCTAAAACCAAACAATAGGTATTCCTTGTATAACGCGTTATATAAGATATGTGGTTCGCGTTATATAAGATTTAGTTTTCATATAAATTTGGGGGTTATGTTTCAATAAGTTTTTTTACAAAATAAAGTACTTATTTAATAAGGAATAACACATATTTCAACTCAAAACTAAAATTCAGATTTTGCTATAAAATTAAAACCATAAAAATAAAAATAATAATTCAAACTTCGAAAAACAAAAAAAAAAAAACAAATTATTTAAAACATATTATAAAATTTAAAAACAAACTGAAAAAAAACTAAAAGTTATTAACAAACTCCAATATAATTAGTCTGCTTTACTGTCTTCAAACATCCTATTTCGTGAAAGTTGTGGGCGTGCAATAACATCATCAGAATATATTTCTATAACATAGTTTTCGTTGTTGGATAAAAAACTAGTTGTGGAACCTTGTGCTCCTGCCACTAGTTTTATCATTCCATTGGCTTAATATCAACAAAAGTTCGCTTTGTATTAATATTTTTAAGTCAGTATTTATACTCACACATGTCTTGAAAACAAAAATGGGAAATTCTCAGTTTACACCAAAACAAATATGAATACACATGCTTTCAAAATCGCGTTATAAAAGTCCAAATTTCGCGTCCTACTGAAACCGATTTTTTTTTTCAAATCGCGCTATATTGAAAAAGCGTTACATAAGTACCGCATTTTAGAAGGGATACTTGTATATTAATTTAAGAAATAGTTCGAGTCTCGGTTTACATGCACTAATGCAATCATACCAATATTTTTACTATATTACAGCGCTTCCTCAATAAAAAGAGTTAAGAAGTACACCATTTTATTTCCAACTTTATACACATCACAATTATTGAGTTGCATGCTTATTTTGTTATAATGTATTTTTAAAGGCGCACAAGGAACATTATTTTCGTATGTTTGTATAAGTATTAAGCATTTTAAAAGCGCTCAAAACATTTCTTTGTCCTGTACAATGTGGCAAACATGGTATATCATAATATCGAAAGCGATTAAAAAACACATTTGAGTGTTAAAATAATAAAAACAAAATAAGTATAAATTATATGTATATAATTTTTAGAAATTATAAAAATTAATTTTTAAAACACAGATATTAAAAAAAATTTAATTTGTAGTTAATAATTGACAGAAAATAGCATCATGAATTTATTTTTATTTCAATCTTGTCTTTATAAATTTAAAACACATATTTCCATTTTAGATAAGTCAATGATATACTTTATTTCATTTAAAATAATTATTTTGAAAGATCAATATAAATCAACGCTCAAATCTAATTTAGTTTCACTTATATTCACAGACTTGACAATACACAATTTACTAATACATTCGTACGGTGTATTGAAAATTGATCATCGAACTTTTGTTAAGAAATATATTTTATATTAGGTATTTTCGAATAAATAAGAAATGTTCATGGTGATTTGCGATGTTTGAAAAATGAAAAACGATTAAATACAAAAAATATGCAGAAATTATTTTATTTCGTTTAAATATTAACAAAATTAAATTTCTGGTTCTTACAAACTAGTTACTTATTACAGGTAACAAATTCCATTATAATACATTACAGGAAACAAAATATTTTTAAGGTAAAACCAAAATAGTAAATACATAAAAAAAACTACCTAACATATTTACATAAAAAAATAAAATTTGTAACCCATTTTTCTTAAAACTAGTTATATTTGATGAGAAAAGCAATTAATTTTATGACATAAATGCACCTATGTATGTATTCAACTAAATTACACAAAATTATTAAATTTTCTTTTATTAGAGATTTAATTACTTACTTATTTAAATTGATTTAATTACTTACTTATTAAATTAATTTATATTAATTTAAAGCTCTTACAAATTAAAAATACTTCGTTGGTGTTGAATCGCTTTTAACTATTTCTTGTATCCATTTGTGCCTGATAACTTCGTTCTTTGGCAAAGTAAATTTAGGTATAGCATTTACGTTCTCCTTTTTTCGTAGACTATTGTTTCTGCAGCCTTCGACACAACACTTTCGGGGCATTTCTGTTTATATGAAGGTAACCAAATATACTTTTTTATTTTATTTAAATATGATTACAATTAGAACTTTAAAATGTACACCAAATCTTACTAATTTATTAAGTGATTTTTCTTTTTAAATAAATTTTGGAACTATTTTTTCAAAATTCTCTCTTTTTTCATACCAAATATGACGAACAAAAGAAAAAATTTATATATATTATAAATCTTCATTTTATTTAATAACACAAAAAATTAATATAAAAATTTACTAAATTTCAATTAAAATTAAATTTTAAACACCAAATAAATTATTTTACCGCTCACCGGTGAACTAAATAATGTTATATAGTCTCATTTTTTGTACAAACTTATTCAATAGACACAAATACAAAAATATTAACATGTTTGTACATTATAGGAGCTTATGGTTATATTTAAATTCTTAAATCCAAAAAGTTATAAAAAATATATTTTTTTAATAATATTAAACGAAAACAAGAACTTAAAGAAAAAAGAAAAAATATTTATGTATGTACTTCTAAATGTCCAAAATTCATTGCTTAAATTTATCAAATTATTACTATGTATAAGACTAGAGAAAAAAAATTTTTTTTTCCTATTCCTTTTCTTCTTTTTCTCTTTTATTTTAGCATAAAACAATTTTAAAAATTTAAATTGAAAAAAAATACCCTATCAAATAAAAAAATCTGGTGTGGTTAGCACATAACCGACCGCAATGTGTATTGTTTAGTTAAGTGAAAATGTTACAGAATATAAAAATGTCTGTTAAATACTTATTTCCAATTTTTAGGACATTAGTAAGCTTATAGTTAACATACCTAGAAAAATGTAAATTTGGCTCTTAGTAGAATTTCGCTTTGGGTTACCCGAATTTTCTGAAATGCTTAGTTAGTTTCAGTAAGAACCAGAACTCAAATATCAAATTTCAAGAAATTCTATCAATTCGTTCAGTGTATATAGTTTACCCTACTATGGCAAAATTTGTTGCCATCACATAACCTACCTATTGTATACACAATACGGTCGGTAAAAAGTAAATAAAAACTTAATTATAGTTATTAAGAATGCTACGAAAACTCATAAATTCCAAATGAAATAATTAGGGACGTTCTGCTATTCATTCGAGAATCGAATGCGTCTTCAGATTAATAAACTGATTTAATTTTTAGGGTGAGGGGGATTTTTATTAATTTATAGGAAAAATAGTTTAAAACAAAATGTTGCCAAAACCGAAGGCCGAAAAATATTTGATAAAAAATTTACAAAATTAATTTCTAATGAAAGATTTGATAAAAAATTTACAAAATAAATTCAAAACAGAAAAATGAAAATTAAAAACAAAAAGCAAAAATTATATTAAATTATAGGACGCTTACAATAATTTTATATTAACACTATTATGATACTAATTCAATCTCACAGCAATTCAAAGAAAAAAGCCGCGATTTGAGAAATTTAGAAAACTTTGGCGGACTCCTCTCACATTTCAAAAATTCAGGTAGATTGTTATAGAAACAAGGCGCTGTAATATAGTGAAAAGTGGGACTTAAAAGACATTGGTATCATTGTTAGATGCCTATTATTAACAAGTGGATTGTAACAATTGTACAACCTCCGTGCACCATAAGCTGAATTTTTAAAAAATAATCTCAAAACTTTGTAAACATAAGAAACAATTTAAAATTAAGTGTGCGACGAATGACTCAGCAGATGACCCTAATTGCATGTTTTTGCTTAATCAAGAGCAAGTCAATCTTGTTGAAGTAAGTTTTACCCTAGCAAGCTAAACCGTACTGAAGTTTTGATTTTACACCTGGATATCTATTATGGATTGTTTTGGAAAAAAGCCAATATAAATGAATTGCAAAATAAACAAAGGAGAATACAAACTTAGATGAAAAAAATTCCTTATAACTCCGTTTAAATATTGTTTCAAAAATGAAGTGTGAAATTTCCAACTCATTTTCGAGTCCAGTAATACATCTTAATATTTAAAATTTTCAGCACATTTGATTTTAAAACATTTACTACAGCATGCAACAGCTTCAACAAAAACTGGAAG